GGAGGGGGGGGGGTATTTTACTAATACTTATAGAAAAGCAATTATGAAACATAAAATAAAGGTAAGGAACTTCATTATATATTGTATTAATATACGTTATTCATATTTTTTGGTGGGTCACAATATTTTTCTATTCAATATCACTCATATAAAAGCGAAATTCAGTAGTTAAAAATGAGCCTTTTGCATTTGTTTTAATGAAATAACAAGCTTTTGTATTTCGTCTTCACCCATCCACCCTCTGTAACTCTTTTCTTTGCCCGTATTTGCATTATATCAAACTTGAACAGGTTCACTGGCACAGGCAGCGTCGGCTTCACCCCCAATGAGGAGTGAGGTGGACTAGATAAAACATATTGAGGGGTGAACTTTACAGCTTGTGGGCATATACACTATTACTTAAAAAGTGAATCAGCATTGATAGTGAGCACTGTTCGTTGGGTGCGTGGGCTACAGAGGAGGCTAAGGTACATTTTGGAGTAGCTTAAACCCCGGCAAGCCTCTCCTGTTTATTGGTAACCTCCCCAACTCCACCCTTCGAGGTGGATTCCTGTTGGTGGTGAGGGGACCTCCCAGAGAAGGTTCTGTATCTTAAGTTTACCTCCTCTTGGATGTGATCATACACCCACGTGTTTGCCGTGCGTGGCGTCTTTTGAAGGGAATGAGAGGATCCTGATGGTTGAGGAGTGTCATTGATGGGTCAGTTTATATCGGTGGCACTTCGACACATCACTCTGGCCTTGAATTCATGTAGAGGTGTGGCTTTGGGGTGGCTTCCCCAGGGTAAATCGGCTAGTCCTGTTTGGCTAGGATCAACTAAGTGCCAGAGTTGGACATTCTGAACGGGTGTTGTGAACATTGTGTCTGATTCTTATTTTTGAGAATAGTGCCCACGAAACCTTGGCGTATCTGTACTGTTCTTGTTCGGCATTATAGTGCGTCCCCTCGTAGGACTCCATGGTGGGTGGGATTAGTGGGCAATGAATTACCTACATTTACTCATGGATCCCCAAAATGCAGAAAACAATACAAAATATAAAAACACAGTTAATAGGTAAGCGACCACGTATGGAAGACTCTGTTCCACAGTCACCACCCCAGTCGATTACTGTACATCGTTTGCTCATTCTTCATTCTTTGCCTGAGAAATAATTAGAGCAAGTGTTTCCCTTTTTCATCCAGAAGGGATTAGAGGAGCTTGCTGGCTGCTCTCCAAAGTCAGTCAAGAAGTTACATTATGGGGACATCTTGGTAGAAACATCTACACCACACTATAACGAACTCCTCCTGAAATCAAAGGGCATTGAAGACATACCTACTGAATTCCTCACGAGGAGTTATCGTTGAGAGGGACTTAAAAAACATCCTCAAGTCGGAGATCCTCGCTGGTTTCTCCAGCCAAGGAGTTTCAGCTGTGTGACGCATCTCCATTCGAAAAGAAGAAATACTGCAGCCGACCAATGTTCTAATTTTGACGTTTACATCACCACGTTAACCTGACACTGTTAAGGAAGGTTATATGAAGATTCTAAGGCAGCTTGTCGTGGTTCTTTGAAATGTGCTTATTCAGGTGGTAAAAACCATGATGCCAAAGAGTGTCGGCTAGACCCTCACTGCGTCAATTGTGGTGGTTCCCACCCCTCATACTTTCGTTCTTGCCCTAGGTGGGTGGAGGAAAAAGAGGTACAATGTTTCCATACTGTAACAACACCTCTTATGCCGAGGCCTGGAAATTGTAATAATCATTAGATACCAGACCACCACAAAAAATGCCAGAAATGTGTATGGTAGTTTCTAAATGCGTAATTTACACAATATTTCATGTAAACGCCATGGCTGTCCACTAACATGGCAATTACAAACAGAGGTATATGACCTCTGTTAGCAAAAACAGTAAAGTGGATGTTGAATTTATTACCAGCCTTAATGAACATTGTTAACTTCTTTTGGTGTTTTCTTTACAATTTTCAAAATATTTTGGACACGGATCACAATTTTATGTTCTTAAATTATCTAACATGGGAAAACAAAATTCATATGCACATTTAAGTTAATAATATGATAATTTGAAGTTATGCATCTTGATTGATAGGCTTTAAAATTTTATCCAACATTCTTAAGACTAATAATTGTTACTAAGATTTTTCTCCAGTACTTCAGTAAATGCATCAAACATCTAATTTTTTGTAGCATTTTTGAAATTAGAAATTTATATTTGGTTAACAATTTTGATTGTTGTAGTATTCTTAGTTAGAAATCTTCACTTATATTTTTTTATGTGCAGGGCTAGTTTCCCTTCTGCTAAGTTAGCGATTTTATTAGTATACTAGACAACCCGTGACCCATTGGATCACCACTATTCAGAGTTTATGAAGAATTCAAGCTAATTTCAATCTTGCACCGAAATGAAGGTTTATTTTGAAATAATTTAATTAAATATTTTAATCCATTCATGTTATTCATAATTCAAGAAAAGATATTTGATTGTTGATCGGGAGTAAAAGTACAGACCATTTCATTTTTCAAAAAAGTGAAGTCAGAGTTTTCAGGTATTGTGATGAATTAGTTCATTATGTTGTGGTTTTTCCTCTTAAATCTTCTACAAATAAGAAACAGTAACACTTTATTTTTCCTTCGAATTACCTATCATAACCAAGGCACATTATTGAGAAATTTTTCAAGATCTTGTTTTTGTCATCTTATGCCTTTAACTGAAGATGGAAACATTGACAGGGAAATAGATTTGAACGAAGAAGTTTCGTAAAGAGCGCGAACGGTAGTGTGGTGTAAAATTACTCATGCTAGAAATTTTCATAAAAGTGACCCGAAAAACAGCGATAACTCGGTAACCCTTGGACCGATGAAGTTTCGTAAAGAGCGCGAACGGTAGTGTGAATGATTATTTGACTGAGAAAATAAGCAAACAAACAAACTAACAGTCTCAGAGTTTTAGTAGTATATAGATAGATTCTCCAATATCTTGTTTTTGTCATCTTACGCCTTTTAATGAAGATGGGAACATTGACAGAGAAATAATATAACAGCCAATGCTCGGCGAGAGGTTTTCGTTTATAAAATTTTGTTGTTGTTCTAGACTTGCCTTTTATTTTATTACCTCGTCTCCATAGTTATTATTTGCAAATAGTCAATAATATTGTACGTCCATTTTATTATTGTCCTTTCTACGCGCCGTTATAACACATTTTCACCTCATCATTTAATTTCTGTTGTGCAATATTGTTGTATAGAAGATATTTTAAAGTGATTCATTGGGTAGAAAATGAATAGATATATAGATAGCTAAACCGATATGTGGCGCCATCTAGTGTACGTCAATTCATCTAGAAATGTTTATAAAAGTGACCCGAACAACGGGGCTAACTCGGTAATCCGTGGCCCGATTTTAACGGAACTTGTTTAATTCTGTTTCTATTCTCATTTAATTTTTTGCTGTATTTAATTACAGACAAGCAAATACACAAACAATCTCATAGTTTTAGTAGTATATAGATAGATAAGAAAGATTTGTGCTTCACCATGTGAAGCATAATAAAATTATGTAATGTATCGGAAATACACACAAGTATTATTATTATTACAAGTAATTTTCATTAAATATTGCTTTTCTCCCAGTTTTGGTATAGCAGGCCAGACAAATGTGCAAGGAGAAGAAGTTAAAAAGTTGGATGTTCTTGCCAATGAACTGTTTATCAATATGCTTAAATCATCTTTTACTACATGTCTTCTTATTTCGGAGGAAAATGATCAAGTCATTGAAGTTGAGGCGGATAAGAGAGGGAAGTACATTGTCTGTTTTGACCCACTAGATGGCTCATCAAACATTGACTGTCTTGTTTCAATTGGATCTATCTTTGCTATTTATCGTAAGGTTGGTGAAAAAACAAAAATATTCCAAAACGTCTAAATCCTGAGCATTATACATGACAGATCCCATTACTTGTATATGTGTTTGTTTCCTTATCAGCATATAACTTTTTTGTGATATTGATGCACAAGTTTAATTTCATTATTGTTTGTTTGGATCATTAATAAGTTATTCCTCCTGTCATAAATAATCTACCTCTTCAAAAATCCCATAATTTTATTTCTTGAAGTTTATTGTATCACTTTTTTTTTACCCTCATCAAGAGAAGAAGAAAAAATAGATACATGTAATTAAATTTTTACTTTTTTTTCATACCGTAAAATTACCTGGCAACAATAAACTTTTTTAAGTTAGAAATTCTCTCAACAAACAAAATAATTAAATCCTTCATGGTATTAAACCGTGGAATTTAAGCATAACTTGTTCTTGGTTTTATTTATCTAAATCTTAAAAGTAGAATCAACATATTTAACATAATCCTTTCATCTTCTGACTAGGCAACCACAGGACCACCAACAGAGCAGGATGGACTGCAAAGTGGGCGAAACCTTGTGGCCGCTGGTTATGCTCTCTATGGAAGTGCCACAATGGTAGTTTTATCAACTGGAAATGGAGTTAATGGTTTCATGTTGGATCCCGTATGTACAATGGATTATTTTTTTATATACAAACTTTTCAGCAAATAACATATTAAAGTAAAAAACAGAAATGTAGTGCTCAGTCTGCACAGATAAGAACCTATCGGTATGAAGTATCTAAAAAGAAAGATGTACACTATTTATAACAAGAAAAGATATGAAAATGACTTCTCAAGTATGAAGAAGTTTGGAAATAGTTTAAACTATTACTTAACCTTACTAGTGTCTATGAACAGCTAAGACTGATTTTTGTTTCTTCTTAAATTATCCTTAATCTAAAATGTATTGGTTATTAGATAATTATTCATGCAAAATATTCTTCTAGTTCTTTTCCAGTATAGTATTTAAAGCTACTATTTATTTATCTAAATCATCAGGCCACTTTATTATTATTTTTTGTAAAAACAATAGTTGCCCAGTTTTTTCTTTGACAAGATTATGAACAATGTTTTTGGTAAGAAGTGTTCATTGTCATTTTAAATGTCAAAGAACAAGACCTTGTGTAATGTTTTTGTGATCTATATGTTATGCAGCTTTTTCATATTCACATACACACACTATAAAAATGTGTTACAGCATCATTCCTTGGGGTTCATCTTTTTTTTATATCAACTTAAAGACATATACATGCATGTTATTTTATATTCTTCATAAACATTATCATGAATTGTAGTATTACAGTTTCAGCTTCAATACTTGCATATTAAATTGCATGAATGTTTCAAATGTAAAAAGATGTAAGATACTGCAAAGAAATATTATACAGTGAAATATATTTGGTTGTCTTTATGTCAAATAGGCTTCCTCTGTATTCATTATAGTCACTGAAGTACTTAAATGTGCTTCAGAAGCCAATTACCAATTTCATGTTGTTTGCTTGTAGATATTTTGTCTATGCAATGATCCAAGGTTTTTGACCAGACCTGTAGTATTTTAATGCTATTATTGTTATTATTCATAGTCTATTGGAGAATTTATCCTCACTGACTACAATATGACTATCAAACCCAGAGGCAAAATCTACAGCATTAATGAAGGGTATGGTAGTCTGTGGGATAAAGCTGTAACAGAATATGTGCAAAGGAAGAAATCCTCTCAGGTTGGTTTTTACATTTAGCACTTTTTTAGAGATGGTTGTTTAAAATATAATAGGTTGAAATTTGACATTAGATTACATAGCTACAGTATAATATTTACAAACCTGGACATAGATATATTTCAGAGAATTATCCCTTTTATGGATAATTAATGTGTAGAATAAGTGGCATGCATTGTAACCCTGGGGTGTTTCAAAGATTTCAAATGAGTTTATGGTTAATAAAGGTCAAAATTAAACTCATATTTAAGTTATTTGTATTTCATTCATTAAATAATTCGTAAGAAAGAAGTGACAGTTGACTCATGGAGGTCACCCATTAACCACCCAAAGAGCACTGCTTAATTGTGACCTTTATTAACCATAAACTCATTTGAAATCTTTGGAACACATTTCACTTAAAGATCATCATTTTGAACAAATTAAATGGTTGGTTTAAGTCTTATATCAATTGTTACAACATTAGCTTTACTGATGTGAGCCATGGATACCAAGTTTAGGTTAAGGCAAACTGTTTTCTATTCTGATCTATTAAATCCTTAATTTTAAAGTCAAAATTCTATAAATACATGTCAGCACACTTTTTGCACAGCCAAATACTCAATGGAAGGCAACAAAGCAAAAGGTTATATTCAGATTAATTACAGTCCAATAATTCTCCAAAGAAGTTTGAAGCCCTTTCAAATTTTCATATTCATATTATATGAGCTCACCGTTCTAAATACACACAGAAAAAATGCATTTTACTGAGCTCTTTCAGGTGGTCAGTTTTAGATATACCCAATATTTTTATACCACCAATAAACCTAGAAAAATGTTGCTATCCAAATCATTTACATAATTCATGTACAGTAACAACCTAGAGCCAAATCTGTTTAGAACCCACTAATAACAATCACCTGCTCTAAAAACTACATTTAAGACAACCAATTATTTAAAAGAAGCAAGTCATCTGTTATACAATTTGTGATAGTGTTACTATAAGAATCTAACTTAATGATACTCATAAAGCATTGTATCTAAGGCCTACTTCTGAATATTAGATCCAAGATGGTATTCTCACTCTAAGAGGATATCATTATTGAAAATTAACAGGTTGATAAAGCAAGAGAAACCTCTTTTAAAACCATATTATTTGTGTAATAACTTTGCTTCTCAAGTTATATTTGCATTTAATAAATAGTCTCTGATAATATATTCTATAATTTACCATAGTAACAATACAAGTCAACCTAACATGCCAATAAACTAAAAACTACACCTGTAAATCTAACAAAGTACAGATAATATTTTATTTTATTTTTACACTACAAACAGAACTCAACCATAAATTATCATATTTTTTTTTCTTGCAAGTTTTTTTCTTTATAGATATTATTTGATATAAGATGAAAGAATAAAATTCTTGTGGCTTGGATATGTTTTGCTGCATATGGAGATAAGGAATAATGATATTTTGGTTACAACTATCAAAAAAGCAAATTTTGAAGGGATGCAACAAAAATTATCTGTTGTAAGTTGGCCAGCCGAGTTATTTAGAGACACTGATCAAATGTTGAAAATTTTTGAATATTCAAGGTAAACATATTCCTTATAGAAAGAAAACAGTAGCTACAAGTAAAAAAACAGGTTGGCTCACAAAGAGTTTTAAAAAATAAAATTAAAGAAAAGCATAAGAAATTTAAATTGACTGCTATAACAGGAGATTTAGAAGATCAAGAAAGTTGGTGAAAAGAAAATTAGGACACCAAAAAGGATGTATGAGAAAAGGTTGGCTGAAAATGTAAATATTAACAGCAAGGATTTCTTTAAATATATTAACGGTAAACAAAGTGTTAGGATGGGGTAGGACCTTTGGGGGATGATAAAGGAAGGCTACTATCTGATGAGTATGAGATGGCTGGATTATTAAATTTTGCCTTTTCTTCAGTTTTTACTAACAGATAATATTACCCCAATGGTTTTGAAGGAGATCAAAGTTTGAATATTTGAGCCACTTACTACTATTTTTTGTCAGTCCTTAAATAGTGGGCAGGTACCAGAGGACTGGAAGTTAGCTAATATAACTCTTCTTTTCAAGGGAGGTGATAAAAATTGTCCCAGTAATTATAGACCCACTAGTCTTACATCAGTTGTGGGAAAAGTTTTAGAAAGTCTGTTAAAAGATGTTGTGCAAAGTCATTTAACAAAGTTTAGAATTTTATTGAATAGTCAACATGGTTTCACTAAGGGAAAATCTTGCCTTACAAATCTTTTGGCATTCTTTGAAAAGGTTATTGCTTGTGTAGATGAGGGTAAGGGCATAGATCTGGATTTTCAGAAAGCATTTGACAAGGTGCCACATAAAAGGCTTAAAAAAATGATCTCTATAGGTGTGGGGGATAAGTTAGCAAATTGAATAGAAAAGTGGCTGGATGGAAGAAAGCAAAGGGTTGTTACAAATGGAGTTTAGCCAAACTGGATTAATGTCACAAGTGAGGTATCTCAGGGCTCAGTCTTAGGACCTTTACCCTTTTTGATTTACATCAATGACATAGATGAAGGAATAGTCAATAAATTACTCAAATTTGCAGATGATATTAAGGTCTTGGGTGTTGCTAGCTATGAATATGATGCTGCTGATTTACAAAAGGATTTAGATCATTTAGTGAGTTGGGCAAATAAATTGCAGATGGGTTTTAATTATAATAAATGCAATATAATGCATGCAGTTATCATAATTTGAATTATAAGTATAATTTGGATGGGAATAACCTTAATAGTGTTATGGAGGAAAGGGATCTTGGTGTAATAGTCGATCAGTCTCTAAAGCCATCCAAACAGTGTGCTGTTGCTAGTGGTAGGGCAAATAGGATTTTAGGTTGTATCTATAGAAAGTTTGAATACAAGTCTAAAGACGTTATACTTTCATTGTACAGGTCAGTGGTTAGGCCACATGTGGAATATTGTGTTTAGTCTTGGGTTCCTTACCTTAGGAAAGACATGGAATTGTTGGAAAGGATTCAGAGAAGGGTTACTGGAATGGTGCCTGGGATGAAGGGGGTTGTCATACAAGGAGAGGCTGAAAATCTCTCAAATTGTTTTATCTTGAAAAAAAAAAAAAGAGGGAAAGAGGGATCTGATTGAGGTGTTTAAGATTGTAAAGGAAATTGGTAGTGTTGATGCATCATCATTTATCATATTTAACAGAGAAATTTAAGCAAAGTAGAAGTCATCTTCAGCTAAGACAGTTTCATTTTTCTAACAGAGTGGTTAGTCTTTGGAATGGGTTGCCTTCAGATATTGTATAGGCAGTAAATTCAAGTGAGTTCAAGAAAAAAAGATTGATAAGTATATGAATGATAAGGGCTGTCTTTAATATTAATATTTATTAATTATTTTGATTTAGTTTAGAGGATGAAACAGCCAAGATGGACTAATAGGTCCCAAAACGTCATGTTATATATAATTTTCAAAATTTTAGCAGACTTAACAGGAGATTTCCAAAGCATTATAAAAAGAAAAGTTTTTAACACTGTTTGTAGACTATTATTGCTAAAACTAAAGTTGAAGGAGACTAAAAGTATTAGCTATAGTACAAAAAATGTTTTTTATTCCTTGCTGCATAATTTAAAAGAAGTTCAGTTGCACATTTTCCCCCTGGTAATATATGCATATTTAGTTTATTACTATCATATATAGTTTCAAATAATTAGTGCTGCATATAATTTCTTTATTTCGAATGGACTCACAACAACAGAAATTAGGTTTTGAATAGGAGATCATTACCCTAACAGTGACATTAAATGTCTGACAAATTTTGGCAGGGCTCTATCACTATATAATTTAGTACTACACCACTGCTTACTAACATGTGTAACATACTCTTATTTAATAATGTGATACTTAGCTTTGTAAAATCATCTGCCAACTAGCAAATTACTTGTTTTTTAATGTGGTATACCTCAGAAATTAGAATGTTTCATAAACTGTATGACACTATGAAATTGTAGAATGGAAAACCTTATGCTGCTAGATATGTTGGTTCCATGGTGGCTGATGTCCATCGAACATTGAAATATGGAGGGATTTTTATGTACCCTGCAACAAAGGATTCCCCCAATGGAAAGGTAAAACTCTGCATATTTAGCTCAACGTTTTCACGTAAGTGTTCTTATGAATAGCAGTAGGAACACTTTATCATTCCCAAACATTCTCTCCAGTGCAATGTCAAAAAAAGAAGCAATGTGTTCCTATTATATTTTTATATTTGTTTCTAGCTGAAATTTTTGCATAATTTGTATTTTGTTTTTTTAATGTTTATGTATATTCAGATATGATTAAAGAAGTAGGCTCAGTAATTCTGACATGACTGGTTCCAAAATGTTGGCTAAACATTTTTAGAGCATTTGTAGTATTTGAATATTGTAGAGAGAAGATAAATTTAAACTATTAATTATATTTTGACTTTACTTTGAATAGTCTGGTATGTTTTACACTTTATACATATTACTAACAGCAATATTATGTAAATAAAACATGTGGGAAATAATAATAAGTGTATCTAACAGTTCTCTTCATTGCCTCCCCGTTTAAGGTATAGCTTTTATTTTCACACATTTTTTGTCTTCTGTAGTCTCTTTACAGTGCTTTCAAGTGCAATGATTTGAACCAAATCCTTAAAATGTATTCTGATTTTCTTTACTTTATTAATTAATGCTTTACCTATATTTGGTATTATTTCTATAAAGAGATAACTATAGCGATTTGTTTCAGTATTTATTTGGTTTGAATTTCATGCAAAGATACACAAGGACTATCTTCACTAGCCGTTACTAATTTAGCAGCGATAGACTAGAGGGAAGGCAGATAGTCAACACCACTCACCACCAACTCTTGGGCTACTCTTTTACCAATGAGTAGTGAGATTGACTGTCACTTTATAACACTCCATGGCTGAAAGGGCTTGCATGTTTGGTGGCAGGGATTTGAACCCATGACCTGCAGATTATGGGTCGAGTGCCCTAACCAAGAGGCCATGCCAGGCCTTCAGCATTAATGTTGAAACATAAGTTTCGGGATTTTGTTGAACATTGTTAATCATGCCCTGATAAAATTTACTAACATATTGGAACTTCCACAGCAACAGTCTGATATGTTTGATAATATCACCCTCCTTTTAGTTGAAAAAGGGTTGGAGATATGGCTAAATATACATTACTATTCTCAAACTATTACATAATCATTTGATGACAAGAATCTTTATATTTTCACCTAAAATTTATGTACTTCAATTTTCCATATCAGATAAATAGACCTACTTTTGTTTTACTTTTAAAGCTACGACTTTTGTACGAGTGCAACCCCATGGCTTATCTAATTGAACAAGCTGGAGGGATTGCAAGCACTGGCAAAATTCCAGTTCTTGATGTTATACCAGAAAAGATTCATGAAAGATCACCCATTTTTCTTGGATCAAGAGAAGATGTAGAAGAAATCCTTGATCTTTATAAACAGTATGATCAAGATCAGTAATCAGAGAAAATCCTTGATAAATTCAAAAATGTTTTATTTTTTTAAGATATATTGGAATTCATGAGATGTAAGAAATTTCATGTATCTTTAACAATATAACATATTTTATGATCAAAATGATGAAACAATGAATACTTGAAATGTCTTTAAAATGTTTGACAATATATCTGTCTGTCAGATAAATATTTACATTTCTTGTTCTAGTGACAACAAAGAATATTAAATTCCCTTATGAAATACTAGTTATAAACCCAAAATATTTTTCTCAAATCATGTTGATCTTTGAGGGTGTTTTAGCTATTCTGTTATTAGTTTTGTTACTTATTCTAAATTCTTCTATACCAACTTTACAAATTTCATTTCTACTGGTTTTGTTATGCAGAAATTGTGGTGAATAAAAGTGTAGGATTTATATTAATATTTGTAATAAATGGACTTTAAAATGCAACATCTTGTATTAGCTTATTTGACTTTGGAAAGTTACAAATGAAACTTAAGAGCAGATTGTTCACTTCATAAAAATACCCGCTTCTTATGTACCAAACATCAGAATTACAGTTTTAGTACTTTTCTCTTTAAAACTATGAACTTTATGTATATAAATAGCATACACAACACAATAGAGATAAATTTAGAGTTAATTTATAGGGGTTTAATATTGTACCAATTAGAATCTTGTACACAAAGCCACTAGGACAGAAGAGGTTATCATAAGTAACATTATATAAAAAATAATCAATTTTTATGCCATTATTACACCTACTCTCCCCTTCTTCTCTCAAAAAAAAGAGTACAACTGAGAAAATAAGATGTGTACTTTTAGAAATCATTCTTTCTCATGGTCAATATCTAATTCTTTCTCTGTGAATATTGTATTGGAGAAGATTCCACCATAAAAATCAATTAAAATGTAAAATAAGATAGTTTGAAGTGGATGAAAAAAAACTACTAAACCAACAGTACAACACGTAACCATTTTGAGGTAATTAATATAAAAACATAACAAATAACTTAAATAGAATAAAACCTTTAACACCCAACATGGTTTTGGAACTCTCTTTAAATTGTTGGTGTTAGTTTATTTTTGGTCATAATTATTATATTATTAGAGCTTTTATTTTTCTTTTATTAACATTAGTTTCATTGTATATTATTTTACAATTTGTTTCTTCAAACTGGGGTTCGTTATATATGCCATTCTCATGTATGTGTGAATATGTTGGTAGAATTCCTTTTAAATTATTCAGATTCATAAATATTTCTTAATTAGTTTTATGAATTTTTTTGCATGTTTATTTAATGTTTTTTTTTAACTTTTGATTTTAGAAAAAAGTTATATTTGTAAAAAAAACAGGTAAAAATTAAGCAGTCATTAAAGAAAATGTATACAGATTCCTACATACATGAAATGGGACACAATTTAAACAGTAGAATTAAGAAACACACCAAACCTATTCACACATTTACAAAAATTGCACATGTAACAAACATCAGCTTGAAGAAAATTATTTTAAAATAATACATAATGAAAATATTATAAATGAAAATTTAAAATCTCTAATAATAAATAATAATGCTGGTGTTGATTTATATATATACACACATTTTAAAGATAAATTTCAAAATTATGTGCATGTTGAATAAGGTTTTATCCTATTTAAGTTATCGTTTTTATTTTAATCAATATTTGTACCTGAAGATGGCCATGTGCATGGTTGAAATGGTTGTCTTTTTAACAAGTTTTTACTTACTTTAAGCTGCTTTATTTGCATCTTAATTCCTATATGAATATCATTGAAATTTAAAACTGTAACAAAATAACTTAGGAATTACTTTCATGGGATTTCCTCACAAAACTGGGATTCTATATATTAATAAGTACAAACTATACTTTATTCATACTTATACCTACAGTATTTGCATTTGGTAGTGCAAAATGGGATTTCTGTATTTCTTTCACATCAAATTATTTTTCGAAAATATTTAATGTAAATTGATACATGTTTACATGTCATATGCTACATAAAGAATTACTGGATTTGGACACACTACTTTTGAAATAAAATTATAATAGATAGTATTTTTTATTACTGTTTCAGAAATATATTTGGTACAATCTCTAGTTAATAAAGTTGCACTGCAAAACTTCTTGGTAATAATTAATAAGGGAATGGAATTTCCAACTGAAACAGCCCTTTAGATGCACATTTGAATTAAATGGCCAAATCAGAGCACCCTGGGACTGGTATACCTATCCTAATTTTGAACTATTGCTAGAGGGTAGGCAGGCAGCAGCGGCTTCTGCCACAAGGGCTTTCTCTGGCTCTTTGGAATCAAATAACAGAATTGATTGTCACCTTTATAAAATGCACAATGGATACAGCTGAAAGTGCAGATATGTTGTATCCAGCACCCTTCAACATATAGCCCAAATATTCTGAACACTAGATCACACTTGACCTGTAAATCAATCTAATATATTAATAATATACACCTATACTATACTTATTCCTACAGTATATGCCTTCAGTAGTGATATGTCATTTCTGTATTTCTTTCGAATCAAATATTTTTTGAAAATTTAATGTAAATCCATATACATTTACATGTGCTATGCTACATAAAGAAATGTGTTTTTGAAACCTGGATTTCCTTTTTGTAATAAATATTTATATGAACAGTTGAAATAAGTTTTTAAATGCTAGTATTAAAGCTACAAAGGGACAAAAGAAAACAAAATTACTGAACTTTCTGTACCAATTTTTCAAAACTTTTCTTAGATTTAAGTTAGTTTTCCTGTCTTTTTTCATACAATGTCTTTAATCTGTATACTCTGTGTAATATACGTGTTCATAATAAAACTCATTTTCATGAAAATAGAACATTGCTCCCAAGAAGAAATTAAAACTTGTTTTTCACAGGTAACAAAGAAATACTGATTTACTAAAAGCTGTTAGTTTTTTCAAGTATATTTTTATCATGTGAAGTCCATACAGGTAAATGTTTTAGTTATTGCCCCAAAAATGACTGTGAATCAAGCTGGAGAATAAAGTGGGGTGTGGACATAAAAGACCAGCTATCTAGTTTCAATTCTAACCCTTAAGCTAATTAAAGTTGTAAATATTCCTATGGTTTTATATGAACAAAAAGGGAAGAAAAAAACTACTTAAGCAGGGTTTTTCTATAATGAGATTTAATTTCATGCCTATATTCAGTATATGTAAATCTGTTTGCATCCTGGAAAGTTAAAATTGTGGGAAACAACATATTATAAAACATTAATAGCTACGAGAATTACAGTTTCAATTTAAAAACTTTTATGTTGCTAAAACCTGGAATAATAAAAATCATAAATTACTTTTAAAACAACATTTCACCAGAGTTCATCCAATATCATCTGGTACACCTCTATTAACAAATACTTGTTTAGTAGAAAAAAAAGTCACATGATATAATTACACATGCAAAACAATTTAAAAGAAATACAAAGGAGCTTGTGAATATTTATTTAATCTAGGTTTGTAATTGTGAATAAGTATTGCTTCTTTTAGTTTAATCTGACGCTGTTAAAAAAAAATTACATTGTTACTGGAGAAGCTATGAGAACTTATTTATTCAAAAACACGAGAGGGAGGTCACAAGTTCCTTTATTCTAATATTTAATCATCTTCCCATTTCCAGATTTAGAAATTAGGGAAGCCAGTTTTTGTGATGAATTTAATCTCTATATTGAAGTCTGGGACATATGGTAAAAAATAAAAGATTGATTTCTGTTACAGTTTAAAGAAGGTTTATTAGAATCTAAAAATTAGTTTACAATTTTATCTACAATGTCTACTGCATATCCATTTAACTCTACAAAGGAATTTTGAATTTAGCAACTTATGACAGAAAACTTTCTTGGCTATTACAAATTACCCCAGTATTGGTTAAGAGTTTTTATAATAGCCAGTTTTTGTGCTTGATCATGTGCTGAATCCCAAAGTATATAAATGCCCACATTAGAACAAAAAGGTATTAAAATGTTGAAACACAATGACACTAAAAATCAGATCAAGAAAATGGTGTGATGAATTTATATAAAACTGAGTATGTTAATATGATTAATGTTAAGTGATCCTATGCATTATGTAGAGTTAGAAAGTAATTAACAAAATTGTTAAGTTTGAAGTTAAGCACAAAGCTACACAATGGGCTATCTGTGCTCTGCCCACCATGGGTATCGAAACCCGGATTCTAGCGTTGTAAGTCCGCAGACATACCGCTGTGCTACTAGGAGGCTAAATGAAAAAAATCAGATGAATTAATGTTGACCTTTATAACTTTTTGAAAGTTAATAATTCAAATCACCCCAATTATATAGTTCCCTATGGCCAGCCTTTAATTCTTATAACTTAGCTACATTTTAGCTTGGACTCATTCCCCATACATTTCAAAAGCTCTTCTTTTATAAAACATTGTGCAGATTTTTGTAGTGAGACTAGAAGCTTTTTAGTCTCACTGTTTACATGGTCTTCACATTTTGGTCTTTTTTTATGAACTATGCCACAAAATAAATTGCTGAACACAATCTTTGTGCTTTGCCGAAAACACACAAATACCACTTGTATCATATGGTCACTAATTTCTTAGTATAGGATATTCAACATGTTAATATGGAGTAATTGGTAAGCAGTATGAGGAGAAAATCTGATAATTTTTTTTTATTTAGGCAATCTCTATTCTTTTCACAAGTTTGCTTGGGCTTTGTTATATATATTTTATTGTTATGCCTAACCATTTTACTTTCTTTGTTCAAGACCAACAACAAAGGTACTTGAAAATAGAAACCTGTATAAAAAGCAAATTTTTAAACAATAAAGATGTTCTCCAATATATTTTGATTTTTTAATTCACAAAAATACCAAACATCTTAAACAATAATTATTCAGAAAAAAAAAACATATGGTAGAAAGGTAATTAAATGATATTTTTTGACTCCACGATGACTATCTTATGATATTGGTACTTTATAGAAAACTTGATTACTGTCAACTCTAATTCACTGCATACAGTTTTTTTGTTGATATCTTCATAAATATACAAAAAAGTAGTGTTTATCTTTGTATCTAGTTTCAGTCGTTAATGGGTTTTAAAAATAAATACAAACAAATAACATATGTTGCAGCAATCTTAAAGGTTTTTTAGCTAGAATTACATATGCTTTATAATTCTCCTATTTTGATTTTTGTCTCAAATATCTACAAATTACTAGAATAAAAATAAATAGAATTTTTATTCATTTTGCCCATTAATTTTATAAATGTATGATTTTTCAAATCTGATGATTATTCATAGATTGCTTAAATTTATTAACACATTGTACAAAACAGTAACAACTGGTAGTATACCGAAAATTTTTTATTACATCGTATGTAACCAGAGAATACATTATTCATTTAAATGTCCCAAATGATATTTACACCAATGGCTCACTAACAAGATACAGTAATGTAATATGTTCAATAAAACTATATGTATCATAACAAAATGGAGTAGACATCCAAATCCCAAATAATAAATTATTAGTATATATATATATATA